GGGCGAGCATGTTTGGTGTGACAGGGATCAGAACCCGCGACCCTCAGATTGCGAGTCGATCGCCCTAACCACCTGGCCATGCTGGGCCTTGTAATATGATGATACCTAACTTACTTAAAACTTCTTACAGTAAGTATATTTATAAACATTTACTGCAGCAGGCAGCCTTAACCAGATACATCATGCCATGGCTTTTACTCTTTTGACTCCAATTCCAACTAGTACTCATAACAATATTTTGTTACAAAAGCAGATAAAGCTGACTAAAATATAAAAACATAAAAGTTACAATTAGACTGAGAGCGTGTATTTTTATCATTCGGACAGTTTGTTATTGTAGTTATGTTTTTAATTTATACTACCCTGAATATTTCAGTTGGCCCTTTTTTTCCAGGTAGATAATCAAAATATTATGCTCATATTCAGATATTTTGAGCATTTTAAATTACTTCTTGGAAATGAATGCGACCGGGACGATGTGCTGACATTCATGCTGAAATCGGACTTCACATTTGGAAGGCTTGTGTTTTGAGTTTGACCAATTCTAAACTCCTGTAGCGTGTAAATAAATAATAATAACATTGGAAACAAAATATGTGATTTTTCTGCTAATGCCAGTTTAAATGCACGAAACTTAAACTGTTACAGCGCTACGCGGTACATTATATTTTAATCTTTAATATTCTTTTAAATTTAAATTTTAAAGTTTCAAGAATAATTATGTAGGAGTAGTGGTATTAGGACTACAACTCCAAAAAACAAACACGAGTTTTTACCTTCTTTGGAAGGTTTTTAACGATTATGCTTGACATTTCTTTACAACTTGCATAAATATTACTTTAAAAATGAATATTAATTTATAAGTCACTTCAAAATTTCACCAAAAAAAAACAACAATGTACAACCCTTAACTTTCGCTGGACATGGGCAACGCCATATTATCTAAATCTCGAACTCATGGTGTTTTATTTCAGTGATTTTAACTGAGGTGGATAAATCAAGTGAACATTTGTTTAAAAATAACAATAATAATTTAAATTATGTCACTTTATTTAGTTTAATAACTTGAATTCTAAAGAATTTAACATAGTCTGAAATATAATTAAAAATTGGAACTATTATTTGTGGAATTTTAAAAAATTACTGAATTTAAATATAATGGTTGCCTACCTAAGAATATTAAAATAAACTGAATTGAATTACAGAGGATTATACAAATGTGAAAATTTCTAAAAATATTGTCCAAACATAGAACCAACTAAGTACAATATCAATAATAATTTACTTTTATTGTCTTTAATAACTACATAAATAGAACTTTAGATTATCGCGATCATTTCATTCGTTTTGATACCTTGATATTTTACTTTTGCTTCATGAGAATGGAGGCTTAGCGCGACCCAATGGATCGCGCTTCGTTACCACCAAAACAAAAATCGCACTTCATTTTTCTTTGTTTGTTTGTTTGTTTGTTGTTAAGCACAAAGCTGCAGAATGGTGTGTCTGTGCTGTGCCTATCACTCGTATCGAAACCAGGATTTTAGCAAAAGTTTCACACATGTAGGTACACATAGAAAATCAGCCAGTTAAATAGCTATATTCCTTTTGTTCTAATTACCTTGTTATTCTTGAAGATTCGTTTAAAGTATCATATGAACTTTCTCGTGGGAAAGATTTCTGTAAAGTTCAACATACTTTGTGAAATACTGTGAGCATTTCCATTTGTCAGTCAGGTGAAACCCCGACAAAAAATTAAATTTCCCGTTTTCTCCGATGGGAATGACCAACAGTTGCGTTGGTAGAGCATGTGTTCTAAGAATAATAGCATCATTTTTTTCGTGTATATAATACTTTTTTTTCTCTATCCAGAAGATATAGTAGTTGTTTTAGTAAGATACGGGAGCTTTCTCAAGTAAACACACTATCCTTTGTGAATACACTCTTTTGGTTGTTTTTTATGAACTAAATAAAGACCGTTTCATTTTTTTTTACAAATTGTACCTAGGTTCTTTCATTTTTCAAGCTCAGTGAAATAATTCAGAGTTGCTCCATAATGCATTTTCTGACAAACCTTTTAGTTTAAATGTTGAACTTAGAATGCTCAGGTGGGTTAAGACTTAAGAAATACATAAAAGAAAATAAATCCAAAGCCTAAACTTAAAAGTAACAGAAAATAGCATGAATATTTATAAGAAATGAATATTATCATACTGGTGTGTGTCATATCATTACCTATCTAATATATCACCATACAGGTGAGTGTCATATCATTACCTATCTAATATATCACCATACAGATGAGTGTCATATCATTACCTATCTAATATATCACCATACAGGTGAGTGTCATATCATTACATATCTCACATATGACGATACAGATGAGTGTCATATCATTACCTATCTAACATATGACCATACAGTTGAATGTCATACCTTCAATATAAGAATATTTAAAATTATGTTTTTACTGTTGTGTCATAACAAACTCTATGACAAACGTGTTTGTTTTTTGTTAAACTACACAATGGGATATCTGTGGTTTGCTAATTGCATGTGTTGAAACCTGATTTTCAGCATTTTAAGCTCTCAGACTTACCAATGAGGAGCATACAACTTATAAATTGTAAAGTTTTATTTGTTAAATTTTGCACAATGCTGCTCGAGAGTTATCAGTGCTAGCTGTCCCTGATTTTGCAGTGGTAGACTAGAGGGAAAGCAGCTAGTTGACACTTCCTACTGCCAACTCTTGTCAGACTGAGCAGTGGGATTTGATCATCACTCTAAAAACATACCTACAGCTCTGAAGTGCAGAGTGCTTTTTTTTCATTTAGGGATACAAGCCAAAGAACCTCAGTCCAACAAACTTACTTACTAGGTCTCGTTCAGCTGAGAAATTAAAAGTTGAACATATTTAGAATTTTAAAATAAAGGTTCTTCTAAGAAGAGATTATGATGATGTGATACAGGATGGAACCATGTTTTTTCTACTCTCTTAGTTAATATGTAATTTTTTTTAATTTATATATTTTCTTTCTGTTCAGTTTGGACACACAAAATCACACGAGTTAACACACCAAACTTTTCCCGATGATAGATCTGCCCAGGACTTAGTTCATTAATTGGCAATTAACTGCACTTTCTTGCAGAAGAGATTGCTGGTGATGCCAAAAAAAAACCAAAAAAAACAGGAAGCTGTTATTTTGTCTCAAAGTATTATGAATTGTTTTTCTAAGTTAAATTCCTACGACAATTGTATTTATAGATTAGATAAATTATTCATGTAACTTCAAGAATTTGAGTGTATATTTCTGTAATGTAATGAAAACAATGTCAAGAAATATCAGGTTTAATTAATTCTGTTTTTTTACATAGATTATACAAAGTGTAAAAGTACTGTAGAAAGTTCAATATTGTTATAATTTCCTTTAAATTCGATCAAAAAGTGTTTATTCTGCAGAGTAACAAGCTTAGAAACTTGCCAAGTTACAGATAAAACTAATTTGAAAATATTATTTCAAATAAATTTCAACAATTTGTCAGAAATATTCTGAGATTGTAATATCTTATAAACCATCGTCATTGTACAGTTTGTTTATGTGTTTGTTTTGAATTTCGCGCAAAGCTACACGAGGGCTACCTGCGCTAGCCGTTCATAATTTAGCAGTGTAAGACTAGAGGGAAGGCAGCTGGTCATCACCACCCACCGCCAACTCTCCGGCTACTCTTTTACCAACGAATAGTGGGATTGACCGTCACTTTATAACGCCCCCCATGGCTGAAAGGGCGAGCATGTTTGGTGTGACGAGTCATTGTACAGAGTCTTAATTAATGTTACACATTAGACAGAAATGTTTATGAACCTGTAACATCTAAACATTATAAGAAGTACTATTCCAGATACTTTATATTTCAGGTATAATACACACACCGAAACACGATAGGATGATTGTGTGTGTGCGTGGTGGGGTGGGGTGCATTAAACTTTTTCTTAGCTATTGAACAAAAACCAAAACAAACAATATTTAAAACTGTATCGAATATCTTTATACAATATGAAAATTACACCTGTTCATACACAATAAAGGTCGCATTTTATCACTACAGTTGTGGTTCGTTCTCAAAAAAATGTAATACACAATGTGGCTTACAAACTGTACTTTTCCATAGAAGGTTTGATTTGTAAAAACAATAAGCTGAAACAGCACAGAACAAAAAAATTTAATACACATGTGGCTTACAAACTCTACTTTTCCATGAAGGTTTGATTTGTAAAAACAATAAGCTGAAACAGCACAGATTTTTTATTCAAATATTTTATGTAGGAAAACATTTTAAATGTACCAGCAGTTGTATTCAAAATAATTGCATGCAACAAAAACAGAACAAATTTATTAGCGATGCCAAACAAACAAACAAAAATGTTCTAGTTAACTATCATGAATTAATTTTTGAGACAAGTATGACCTGTAAAAGTGAAGGTAACCTACTATTAGATCATTCAAAGTTAGAAAAAATATATATATAAAAGTATTGAAGCTTATACTGAATACACATTAACGAAATACTTATACTGTTATAGTAGAAGACAACTCAAGAATAGCATCGAGAAACTGAGCAACTGTAATCATTTTTTTTATGGAAGGATTTTAAAGTTAGCATTTTGCAATGATGAAGTTAAACGAGTTTTACCTATTTGAACTATACAACATATTGATTATAATACTTCCTCCCATTAGCCTCATTCAGGTTCTGAATTAGAAGTGGCAAGTATAAGCGTGGGATTTTGTAAGCCACTAACATGAAGCCAATAGAACTTTAGCTTGAACAGAGCTATTTTGTATCAAGACCTGTTTTTTTTTTAGTTAAATATAACGAAATGCTAATAAATCATATCCATTAATAACAGCTGTAACCATAAGATACTGTAAAATAATAATAACTATAAAATATTTCATTATCTTACTTTACTAAAATTGACATTCCACTTTAAATCCAGTATTATTATCTATTAAATATATTGTTTGTAATCACTAGAGGGAGTGTGCACTTTGTATGAAATAGAATTTTCTGTTTTAATAGCAAATGCTTAAATTTAAAATGGGATGGTAATGATCCTACAGAAACTTGTAGTTTTTTTTATTCAGTGTGGTCCATTTTCTACCCAAATTAAACTGTCTACAGGGACTATTAAAATAGTATTATAAAAGATCTGACAGATTTCAAGGTCGTTGCCACTCTGTTAACGATAATAGTAACTAAATTTATACTTAGTTAACTGTAACAACTAAAATTAAACTAATATTTATAACAGTAATTACGACTCAATATTATTTGACACGGGGCTATATATAATGTGTAATTTCTCAGTCCTATTTAATATGAAGAATGCATATTTGGTAATGGGAGGAACTGTGTGTTACTGTTAGCTACCCCTAAGTTCATACGTAAAATTTTTGAACTTTTTTTTTTCATTCTGTTTATACTCAGAATCACGCTCGGGTGAACAAGTGCCGGTACACAACACTTGGATCTGGTGTTATTTTACAATTACAGACAAGATAAGCTTTTACTTAATTGTGACGTCTTGAGATAAAATTTGGCCTTTCTGTCAGTGATTTGGGTAATGACTTAGGATTTCTACACTGGAACACAAATAGCTCAAAGTTCAGTGTGCCAGGAACTTGACCTTGTTTGTATTATTTTCAGTATTTAAAGTCAGGTTAAGTAGATAGACCGAGGTTAGATTACTATTCAAATTTGTTTTCGCAGACTTTTGTTGATTTCTTCATGACCTTAACTTAAAGTTTGATTGGTTCAACTGTAAAGTTCACTTCATTTACATTTAACCTCAACAGGGTTTTCAATTTAATATTTTCTAATTCTTTATTATTTTTTTTTAGCTCACAAGGGGTCTCACACAGAGCTGCTATTAAAGATAACTTCTCTTA